TTCACAGTTTTCTAACAGCACACTTGGAGATATAAACATAGACACCATGGTCTAGTGGGGGACATAGTAATGAGGTGGAGTACAGACCTGAAAATATATGAAAATTCAAAGAGGTTTAGGAAGAGTAATTTGTGAAAAGGAGGGATTCAGAGAAGGCTCTTTAGAGGAGGTAACCCTGGCTCCGCTCCTCTTGGAACTGATGAAAGTTGCAGAATTTCCTTTGAGGGTCTGAATGGAGGGCAAATGACTGTGGCCTTGGTGCTGCGCTCCAATTGGTTCCCATTATTGGATTTTTATAGTTTTGTAACCCAGTCTGTGTAACTTCCTTAGTGCTTTCAGTTTATCGTATTTATAATAAACTCTGTTTCTGTTTTGAGATCTTTCTGGCTATTTAATAAAAATGTGGTTTGTCTTTGAATATTGCAAGTAAGTGATTATTTTGACTTCCCTAGAATAAAAATTACAATAAGCCTGTTGTCCAGGGGGAAGTAAACCAGTGGAGCTATCATACAGTTCATTTTTATAGAGGTGGGTAATTTTTTTTTAGCTATAACTATTTAATTAGCTAAAAATAAACATCTGTACTGTTATGATTGTGTTACTAAATCAAGGACTACGAAGAAAGTTTCAATGACAGTGGATTTATTTCTGGAACAAAAGAGACTTTAAGGAATAAAGCTCTGACTGGCAGTCGGATAAAGAGCCGAACTCTATTAGGATGTGCTGCTGGCTTTTTTCTTTTCCTACATCTGTCTTAGATTATTATTTATAATACCTACTTTCATAAAGCATCTGGTTCCTCAAGAAAGTTGTATGAAGATATGGAGAACTTTTATAATTGATAATACTCGAGAAAGTGGCTTAAGGAGTCATCTTTTTTGCAGTATACTGTTTTTATTTTCAAATGGAGTGCCTCTTTTAAGATACAAGTGTATTATTTTCAAATGGAGTGCCTCTTTTAAGATATGAGTGCAAAGATACACAATTTTATTTGCTTCTTAAAGTATTTTTTTAAGTTTAAAATGCACATATTTTTTGACCTGCCAGATCCACATCTAGTAATGTGTTCTACAGACATAGCGACAGAATTGCACAAAATATGTTAAAGGATGTTTGCAATGTTGTTTATGACAACAAACAAATTTGGAGATAATCTAAATGTCTGTTAGTACAGGACTATTTAAATAAATCATGGTTCACCCCTCTAATGGAATATTATGCCATCACTGGAAGAATGAGATATTGATACACAAAGATGTCAAGGTTAACTTAAAGGAAAAAAATTAAGTGGCAGAACAGTGGTGCCCAGTGTACAACCCATTAGTGCACTGAAATAGATATCTGTGTCTTTAGGTATTTCCTTAAATATACCATACAGACCATTCCTGATACAGCACACAAAATCTGCCAAACATGCTTACTTTTTAGGAGTCATCTATAGCCTGGACAGTGTTTATGAAGGAAATATTTTTTTACTCTTTGTCATGTACCTCCTGAATTCTTAGAATTTTTCTGTAAGCATGTTTTAATTTTTATTTTATTTTATTTTATTTTTTTAAATTTTTTTTTTTCAACGTTTATTTATTTTTGGGACAGAGAGAGACATAGCATGAACGGGGGAGGGGCAGAGAGAGAGGGAGACACAGAATCGGAAACAGGCTCCAGGCTCTGAGCTATCAGCCCAGAGCCCGACGCGGGGCTCGAACTCACGGACTGGGAGATCGTGACCTGGCTGAAGTCGGACGCTTAACCGACTGCGCCACCCAGGCGCCCCATGTTTTAATTTTTAAATACTGGGTAAACAAACAAAAAAAAATACTGGATAAAAAGTTACGTAAAAACTCAAAATCTATTAAATTTATTTTATGTATTTTACACTTGATCTTACCCAAAAGGCTGAGAAGCAATACTTATTTTATTTATTTTAGTAATAAATTAATAATTTCAATATAAAACTTCATTGCTTTAGTTCTTATTTTAATAACTATTGCTATCTGGTTAATAATCCCTTAAAAAATCACAACACAGAAATTAATTCTCATCAGTATTTAGAAGAATTGCATGTACCATCAGTGAAGAGCCTCAGGATAGGAATTGTAAATAGCCCAATTGAAGAGATTTTCCCCCCTGTTGTTTGTGCTTCTCTTGAAGTGTCATGGAAACATTTGATAATGAGTCAACCATATTGAGCTCTTCACTTCATTTGCAGTGTTAGGCTTTTGTGCAGATGGGTCTCAATCATATGCTGTTTTTGGATTGACTCCTATTTTTCAGAATCAGAAATTAGTGAAAGATTGTTTTCCATTATCTAATCATCTATTTAGTCCCAATATTTTGGGAGATTGTTTTAAAACATGAATTCTTTTTTTTTTTTATGATTTACTATAACATGTTTCCAGAGTTGGCATTTTAAAGAAAACTTTAGTAGTTTATAAAAGATTTCTTATGTGCCTTTGCCTCTGACATATTTTCCCCACGTACAGTGACTTGTCAACTTCCATTGTTCCCTAATTTGATACCATAATTCTTGTGATTATCTTTTTTGTTTCTGCTTTTTTTTTAATTTTTTTTTTTTTTAATTTTGAGAGAGAGAGAGAGAGAGAGAGAGTGAGCACAGGGGAGGGGTAGAGAGAGAGGGAGATAGAGAACTCCAAGCAGGCCCTGCATTGTTGGCAAAGAGCCTGACACGAGGCTCGAACATACAAACTGTGAGATCATGACATGAGCGGAAACTAAGAGCTGGATGCTCAACCAACTGAGCCACCTGTTTCTACTATCTTTATATCTGCTGTTCACTACAGTCTTAGACTTCAGAAAGAGATCTGATGGGGTTATTTAGTAACTATCCAATAGAGGGAAACATTTTTAGATAGAATTATCTCTGTATCCAGGTGACCCCATTGACTCTTGGTCCCTCTTGTCTGTTGAGTAGAAAGCTAGAATGTTGGTCCAATTAGATGTTTCCAGGAAAACAAGGTCTTTTGAAACATAGTGAGTTCTAATTTACAATCTAATGTTATGGATAATTCACAACAGAAGATATTTTAAACTCTGTTAAATTTACTCCTAGCTTTACTCACAAAATAAATTAAAACAAACAAAACCCCTAAAGAAGCAGCCTGGGGGAAAGGTTAGATTTTCACTAGACACCCTACAGGTTCTAGGCCCAACTCATAAGTAGTGTAGGGGAAATGACACAGGGCTTGCATTTACACATTCACATAAAGTTTGCATCTCTACTTCGCAACTTCCCAGGTGGACAGCCTTCACTCTTAAGGTTGTGACCTCCTATGTAGAACAGAGGGAGCAATATTTCTTTATAGGATTGATGTAGGGATTTAAGGTGATTGTGTATGCACATTGAATAATTGACACACAGTAATTATAACAGTAGCAAGCATTTATTAAGTGCTTACTAAGTGGCAAGCATTATTCTAAGCCCTTTCTGTATTTTACCTCTTTAATGATCTGAACACCCCTCTGAAATTGTTGCCCCCATTTGCCAGATGGCCTGTAACTTGCCTGAGGTCACACAGCCAGTAAATGAAGGAGCTGATAGCTCATGCAGTTAGCATCTACACCAAACCAGCCCTATGCAGAAAGTTGGTGTCTGTCTGTATTTCCTAGGACAGAAATACAGTCTGTGGCCTATTGGGTTGTACCCCCTGCCAGGCTGATAGGTGAAATACCCCCCTGTTCTTACCATCCATCAAATCCAACTGCATTCCTCAGTTCATGATGCTCAGTGACTCCTTTGGAGATTTGGTGATGTCACAGGATTAGGCAGACTAGCTCGAGTGCCTATTCTCTGCCCCCTCACTGCAGCTGAGGTCCCCCAGATCCTGTAGGATTATCTCACGAGGAGCAGAAGTTACAGGCCCAGCTGCCTTCCTTGGGATTCCAGTGCAGAAAATGTCTTCAGGCTTGTTACATCCTGTGTCTTTCTGTTCTCTCCCCTCTACTTGTCAAGTACTGAATATTTGAGGTAGGATTAGTCCTAAAGTCAGACTATAAGGCAGGTAGCATTTGCCCCTTTAAACCATCCATTCTTCAAGTCCTTCTGATTTCATTCTTTCACATCTCAGTGGATCAGTTGAAGTAGCAGCTTTCAGCTTCTGAAGAAATAGGAGATTAGTGGGGGAATGGAAGAGGCCATTTAGAACAATGGTTCTCAAATTTTAATGTGCATATGGATCAACGGGGGCCTTGTTAAAATGCCGATTATAATAAGTAGGTAGGTTGGGGCTGGAGTTTGAAACTGCATTTCTAACCAGCTCCTGGGGGTGTTAGTGCTGCTGGTTTCTAGACTATGCTCTGAGTGGCAGGTATTTGAAGACTGAGGCACCACCCTGAGATGGCAGAGGATTTACCCTATTACCTTTTCCAGGAACGTTTAATCCAAAGAAATGAGTCTCATGGGATTTTAGTTAATGTAACCAGCTGCTAGAAGAAAGTTTGGAATTTCAAACCCCACCCAGACAGCTTCCTGGGAAAGCCATTCATGATTGGAGAACAAAATAGTATAAATTTGTCAAGTTTTGCTATAAACACTATAAAAATAGGTATTTTCCTCCATCAGTTTAATTTAGTGACTCTGGAAAGATTTATAGTCATTTTTACTTATCTGTATGTGAAAGAGCATCATCTTGCTGGTGCTCTAGGTTGAGTTTCTCATGACTGGGGAGATAGATGATTCAACTGATCCTGATGCAGGAGCCACAGATGTATTTCAGTTTCTATTTCTTTGCTCTTTCTATCATCACCTACATAAAAGGCAAGTTAAGTCAACTTTTATTTCTTCATCTTTTGATTTGGAGTTGGCTCGCTTGGAGTGTTTATGAATAATTCTGTTAGAAGAGGTCTGATAGCACTAATCTGAATAACGAAATATTCTGCAGAGCTTTAGACATGGAGGTATGGCGTGCACTGGAACCTGAGGAATGACGTGGGTGATGCTCCTGGCGATGGTGGAGGCTTATGCTCTCGGTTTCTGTTTCCAGGGAGGAGAACATTGCTACTACCAGGGCCGTGTCCGAGGAAACCCTGCTTCATTTGTTGCATTGTCAACATGCCATGGACTTCAGTAAGTGTCCCCCCAATTTTTTGTACTATCCACTCTTTCAGTCACTTATTTTCTTTATTTTTAATGCACTGTAATTAAAATTCTTATGTCAAGAAATAATTTTAAATCAGCAACGGATCTGATCTTACTTTCTTCTGAGGTTTCGAAACCAGGTAGATTTTTAGATTAGAGTTGCGGAAACAGGCCAGGGTCTTTGGAGTTATGATATGACACCCTATGGTGATATTTGAAGCATTTTCTAGTTTCATCCAAGTTGGGACGGGAGCGGTTTGCATAATGTGGGTCTCTGTTTCTCTGGGTGTTGAGACCCTTGGTACCATTCTGCCCCTACTCCTTCTTGATGCTAGTTTTTATACTTTTATGGAATAGTAGAAATTTTAGTAGGTGGAAACTCTTGACTCCTTGTACAAAGACAGTAGACTGCAAATCACCTCAAGAGTTCATGTGTTGGAGCCCATTGTTTGGCCAGAATCCCACCTAAAACCCACAGCAAGCTTGTGGGAGCGTCTGTCTGTTCTCGGAAACCTCCGAGGAATGGAGTTCATCCTTCTTCGGGGCCTTGCTTCCTTTCTCATAACCTTCATTATCAAAGAATGTTTGCTGATGTTTAACATGGGAATACATCCACTTCCTCTGTTCTGTCGCTAATGGTGACACACAGGTGGCCAGCTCTTACTTGTTTTGTTAACACCGTGTGAAGCTACCGTGTCACTCCTCTTCGTTCTACTGAAGCTAAATCATCTCAGTTCTTCCTTGTTTGTTTTACTTTTTTTTGGATGTGGAACAAACCAGCACTTTAGTTTTGTTAAATTTTTTCTTGGAAAATTTAAAATGCATCCTGTCAGTTCCCAAGTAAGAGATCTGGCTTTTTTGTGTAGCTAGCAGTTATTGAGTGTCTGCTATGTGCCAGCCCCTGGGAAAATCGAGGCAATGAGAACATGACTCCTGTCCACAACAGCTCACAGTCCTGTGGGGGAAGCTAAAACTAGCTCAGCTTCCTACTATGGAATGAGATAGGTATGTTTTCTTTGAGAGAGAAAGTAACAGAAAAATGCAAATAGAGAGTGGGCACTGGGGAATGAGGTAGTGCTTGAGGCCTCCGCAGAAATGCCATCTGAGTAGGTAGAGTGGGCCCTGGAATAGGCTTTGATAGAGCCTTCCAAGAGAGAGGGCTAGGCAGACAGGTCTTAACGTTAGGAAAGAGTTCTAATGGGAAATCCAGGAAAATCGAGCTAGTCTGCCTAAGTGGTGCCTCCAGTCAGACTTGGGCAGTAGGTATGCGAGAGGCAGAAGGTAGAGAGTATGAGGAACCAGAGGAATGACACCAGATGCCCAAGAGCATGAAAGACCTCTATCTGCTGATTGTTTGCTCTGAAAGACTTTTACTTACTTTGATTACAGTCTTTGACTAAAGAGACATTTTTACAAACAGGAATCCATGCCTCATATGGTCTTGGTTTTCTTATCTGTAAAAATAAGTTTAAAGTCCCCTTCAGTAATAAAATTGTTACAACTCATCTCAAGATGAGCACAGCTTTCTGCTAAGAGTGGTACCCTGGGCCCATCGACATTCGTGACAACAAATGTATGATAGTGATATAAATAGGAAGAGGCTTTTTTCTCCTTCTCTTCCTCTTACCATCTCAACCCAAAGTTCCCATGTAAGCATCTTGCCCAGGGCTTATTCCACTGTGTCTTCCAGTTTTCCAAACAGCATGTTGTGAGAAGCAATGAGAAGGTGTCACTGCCTTCCAGGGACTCTGGTAGACCAGGAGCTTGCTACTAACCTTACACAGTCATTTGAAGGAGGATGGAAAAGAAACTTTAAGGAAACTTTAGTGACTATATCAGGAGTATCACTCTGAGGCAGCTTCAGTTGTTTTAACTAGGTAAAATTTACCTCTGTCGTGAGAAGACTTTCTGTTTAAAATGAAACAAAAAGAAACAAACAGAAAATGCATCATGTGTCTAGGAACACTGTCAGGATTGTGTATAAGCATGTTTGGGTGTTCTTAGACCTTTGTGAGAGTGTTGGATAAATTTACTCTTGATCCATTTTGTTATTTATTTATTTTAAAAAAAATTTTTTTTTTTCAACGTTTATTTTTTTGGGACAGAGAGAGACAGAGCATGAACGGGGGAGGGGCAGAGAGAGAGCGAGACACAGAATCGGAAACAGGCTCCAGGCTCTGAGCCATCAGCCCAGAGCCTGACGCGGGGCTCGAACTCCCGGACTGCGAGATCGTGACCTGGCTGAAGTCGGAGGCTTAACCGACTGCGCCACCCAGGCGCCCCTCCATTTTGTTATTTATTATTAATTATCCTCATGTTGATTTTACTTTCTGAAAAAAATTGCTGACAAATATTTTAAAGGATATTACTAAATATTAAATAATTTATATTGTATCAATTACATTGATTTGGATATGAAATAGATTATTTCATCCATGATTCATCTTTAGTAATTTACCAAGTACATACATAGATCTCTCACTTTTCTTGATTTACTGAATTCAGTTGAAGAACATGAAGGGGGGGAAAGATGCATATTTTTATATCTTTTCCATAAAGAACCGGAAAATGCACATTTTAAAAAAAATTTTAATTTTTTTAAGTTTTTATTTTTTATTTTTTTAATATAAAATTTATTGTCAAATTGGTTTCCGTACAACACCCAGTGCTCATCCCAAAAGATGCCCTCTTCAGTACCCATCACCTACCCTATCCTCCCTCCCACCCCCCATCAACCCTCAGTTTGTTCTCAGTTTTTAAGAGTCTCTTATGCTTTGGCTCTCTCCCACTCTAACCTCTTTTTTTTTCTTTTTTCTTTTTTTTCCCTCCCCCTCCCCCATGGGTTTCTGTTAAGTTTCTCAGGATTGCACATTTTTTTTTTTTTTTCAAATTCAGAGGACTAACAGGCAGTATTTTGGTCCTGGTATGTTTGATGTTATGACAAAATCCTGTAACTATAGGAACCTAAAAGAATGGGATCAGATGTAAGTTTATTGCCCTCTTGTGGCAATTTTTAAGAATGGCTGTTTCTTTTCAAAATCTTGTTTTGATCCAGCCTTTTAAAAAATCAGCTCTATTAGCCTATAATAAATAGGTCCTGGATGCTGGTTTTTATCAACAATATACTCTGTGTGGACTTGATATACTTATTGGAATTTTATATAAATACAACCGAAAGGTGTCAATCCTCAAAACAAATAAAACACATACGCTTTTTTTTAAATTTTTTTTTTTTCAACATTTATTTATTTTTGGGACAGAGAGAGACAGAGCATGAACAGGGGAGGGACAGAGAGAGAGGGAAACACAGAATCGGAAACAGGCTCCAGGCTCTGAGCCATCAGCCCAGAGCCTGACGCGGGGCTCGAACTCCCGGACCGCGAGATCGTGACCTGGCTGAAGTCGGACGCTTAACCGACTGCGCCACCCAGGCGCCCCAACATATGCTTTTTAATAGTTAAAGAGTTAGTGATGGCACATTATCATATAGGGAGCCAGAATCTTCTAGATGTATATGATGTCAGAATCTGATTTCTTTACCCTTTGTGTCATGATGTTTAGATCCAATAAAGGTCACTGACTTTCACACTGGACACCAACTTAATGCAAGAGGAAATAATACCCTAGATTATTTAAACAAAACAATCTGCTTGCTGTTTAATCAGCATAGCCATGTGAATTTTGGCAAAGGGTAGTTTTTCTGTACCATTTTCTGGATGGGTCTGGCCAGTTCTCAACAGGTGCAGAGAGAATGTCTGCTGTCGTATTTGGTCTACTGTTTGAAAAAGGCTTCCCCCGCCCTGATTCTTTAGGAGTGTATTGTCAGTAATATCTTATAAATTGCATCTGTTTATCTTCAAATTCCAAATGCGATGTCATCCAAATTCAGAAAGTGTACTTTGGTGGAAAACCTTACAGATGTGAGAGAAGCAGTTCTAAGGGTATATGAAAGTTGAGGGCATGTGGAAGATGTTACAGTAGGAATGAAAGAATTTGGATAGAGGCAGAGCTGAAAGCCATTATGATTACAGCTCAGGGAAACCAACTGATTCCATTAAGCCATCATCAAAAGATAAATACTATTATATGCTTAACACTTTGTGTCTCATGCAGTCATTTCCACATAACACTGAGAAATGACTCCTGAAGATCACACTTCGTCCCTTCTCAGATGCCTGAATGATAAGACACATTTCTTCAGTGTCATTAGAGGTTTCATCTTAGTAGAAAGACCATGTTCTCCTAGAAGGAATGGCCATCAGGATCTCTCTGAGTGGGAGCTGAGGCCATCTGTAGCTTAAAATGCCCTCCAGAGGATTTCTCAGTTGGCTTATAGTCATCTTCAGCCTAAGAGATCAAAACCCAATTCCAGATTTATGCCCTGCTCCCTGCATCCTGCTTCCAAGGTCCATTCTGTCCTTCCTGCAGCTTTTCCTATCTGACTAAATGGCAAACCCATCTCACCAGTTGCTCAGGTCAAAACCTTGGAGTTTTCATCGACACAACTCTTTCTTGCATACTCCAATTCAAATTCATTAGTAAATCCTATTGGTGTTCTAATTTTGAAAAACTACCCCCAATTTGACCAGTTCTCACGATCTCCACCATTACCATTGTGATCTAGGTGGCTACCATTTTTTTTTTCCACCTGGATTATTGCTATAATTTCCCCATTTCCTGTCCTTGCCATCCTAGAGACTATTCTAACTCAGCAGTTGGAGCAATTATTTTAAAATTTAAGAGCGATCGTGTTTCCCTCTGCTAACTTAAATCCACATGTCTCTCAGGGTGAAAGCCAGGGCTGTTAGAAGGGCCTGCCTCATGTGGCCCCACTCTTCCTCTGATAATCATTTCAGAGCCCTCCTCACACCCACCCTACTCCAGCCACACTGCATCCTTGATGTTCCTGGAGCACACTTAGGGCTCGACGCTCTTTGCACAGATATCCTCCCTTCCTTTATTTCAGATCTTCTCTAGAAAGCCTTTCTTTGAGACTCTATGTAAATCAACAGTCTTCTCTCTTTGGTCTCTACACCCAGTCGTCTAGCACAATTTATTGTCCTTAACCCGCTTTACTTTCCTCCCTAGAATTTTTTTACCACCATATCTATCTATCTATCTATCTATCTATCTATCTATCTATCTATCTATCTAGATAGATATATATACACCTATCTATATATATATATATAGTATATCTATATATCTATATTTATATCTATATATATATGTACTTGTTGACTATATATTTTTTGTCTGTCTTCCCTGCAATGCACATGAGCACCATGAGGGCAGAAAAACCATCTGTTTTGTCCACTATGGTGCCCCCAGCACTTAGAGAAGTGTATTGTAGGTGCTCTATAAGTGTGTGCTGAATGAGTGAATGGATGAAGAGGTAGCCAACTGCAGATAGGCAGTTCAGGAACCAATCTGCCTGGGCTCTCTGTTCCCGCCTCTGATCTTCCTGGTTATGTAATTTGGTAAGGTTACTTCATCTCTTTGAGCTTTGGTTTCATTTCTTGTAAAATGAGTATAGGCAAACGTACAAGTTTGCCTCCCTCATACATTCGTGGAAGCGATTCAAATGAGTGTCAAGTTTTTAGCGCAGGGTAAATTGTTGAAATGCATCATCTCTTGTTACCAGAGAACGTTTCAGGTGCGTGGTAGATAGGCAATTCTCAGTGTAGTCCCTGACAACCTGCGTCAGAACCACCTGGGATTTGTTTAAAATGCAGCTTCCTGGGCCCTAGCCAAGAAATCTGAGGAAGGCCCTGAAAGTTTTACAATTTTACAAGCTCTCCAGGTGACTATTTGCATATAAAGTTTTAAAATTACGTGTTGGAGGGAGGAATAATGGACCACAGTTAAAGAATGATAACCCTGAACCTGGGAAGGGTCAGGATGAGGAGACCCTGCTGTTTATGGGGAGTCAGAGGAACGGGCCTTTCCCTTCAGTAGTGTGTGTGTGTGTGTGTGTGTTTGTGTGTGTGTTTACCCATGTGTGATGTGGTGCAGTGTGTATGTGTATGTGGGGTGTGGTATTGGGAGGTTTGTGGGGTATGGTGTGTGGTATGTAGTATGTAATCTGTATGTGCTGTGTATGTGTGGTATGTGGGGGTATATGTGGGGTGTGTGTGTATGTGTGTGGTAAGTAAGGTGTGTGTGGTGTGGTATATGGGGAATGTGTGTGTGTCTGTGTGTCTATGGTATGTGGTGTGTAACTGGCAATGATGGGTGGGACTGGGAAGTGAGTGTTGAGAAGTGAATTCATCCTTCGGCAGCTGTTGATTTTAAAATGATCTTGTTCTGAGGCAAGATGGCTATGCCTGATTATTTTCTTGTCCTTGGCAGTGGAATGTTCTATGATGGGAACCACACCTATCTCATTGAACCAGAAGAGAATGACACCTCCCAAGTAAGTGCTCCTGTTTCTTGTGGCCAATGTAAAAATTTATATTGGGGGCTTTCCCTCTTCCCTTTTCCTCCTTTTTTTTTTTGTCTCTATTTTCATATTTTTAGAGTCAGGATATAATTGAATATTGAATAAGTCAAAACCACAAGTGTTTTTTAAAGTCTGTCTCTTTCTCTGGATACTGGAAATACTTTCCTTCTCAGGTGTTCTGAAGCCTCCATTTTTGTTCTAACTCCACCATAATGTGCTGTGATTTGTCTTAGTTTGCTCAGGCAGTCATCATAAGAGAGTGGGTGGCTTGAACAACAGGAATTTATTTTCTCACAGTTGTGGTGGCTGGAAGTCCAAGATCAAGGTGCCGGCAGGGTCCATGTCTGTCGAGGGCTCTCTCCTTCGATTGGGATGGCTTCCTTCTTACTCTGTGTTCACATGGCAGAGAGAGAGAGAGAGAGAGAGAGAGAGAAAGAGAGAGAGCGCGCTTTGGTGTTTCCTCTTCCTGTAAGAACCCCAGCCCCACCCTTGAAACCTGTTTTAACCTTTAGTACCTTCTCATAGGCCCAATCTCCAAATACAGTCACATTAGGAGTTAGGGCTTAAACATATGAATTTGGCAGGGTGGGGATGGACACAATCATTCAGTCTGTTACACACGAACTCAGTAGATGCATGATTTTCCAACTCATTTTCTTTTCTGGATTTCAGATTTTTCTCTATTGCCTATTGTCTGTAAGGCCTTGTGCTGGTGAAATGTAGAGAAATCCGTTTTATTAATTTCTCCTTCATTTTAGTTGAAACAATTCATTTTCCAAAAAAACTAGAAGAGGGTTGAGTTAATATTATAGACTGCAGAGAAAGATAATACACTTCCATTGTAGCTCTGTGCACAGAAACATTCTTCATCGTGTCATGCAACAGTGTTCAAACACTTAAGTAATTTCTAAAAATACACACTGTGTTGCCACCCATAAAGGGAAGCTATTTGTATTGTATTTTGTTTTCTGGATGCCTATTACTGGCCGTCGTATCACTTCGCCTGGCCAGGTGATGTTTTTATGGCAGTATCATGAAACTTGACTGTTTATGACATTCTGTTTTTTTTTTTTTTTTAATGGAAAGAAGCCAGAAGTAGTTACTTGAATGTTCATTAATTTTTCTTAGATGGAACAGGACTTTTTGTCTGTTGGTTTGTCACAGAACTTTGTATGACATTTGAATTTTGGAGCAAGGTCCGTTTGGGCATCTGCTTACACCAGTCATCCTACTCCCCGATCCCGGAAGAGTGTTAGCCCTGCAGTCTTTGCCTAGCAAAACTATCTGACTCTGAAAGTGGGGCAGGGATCCACAGAAAGGAACTAGTTATAAAAAGCATTAGCCCATTTTCCCAGATGTCTTACTTCTCCTTGGGGGAATAGGTTCATTCATTTATTTTCCATTACTGCAGGCTTTGGCCTCTGTGTCTGCAGAGGCATTTTGTTTCTAATAGGATATTTCTCTGGTGCAGGGGGAATCCAGGCGGGGGAGGGTTGCACAGTGGCTCATTGCCTTTCCAAATCCAGGAGGGCGCATAGTCATGCTTCTTTTAGGGGTCTCTGCTTCTTCAGCTCTCATTGCCCGAGGCTGGGGATAAGTGGTTGCATGTGCTCAATCTCTGTTGTTTGTTATTGCAGGAGGATTTCCATTTTCATTCGGTTTACAAATCCAGACTGTTTGAATTTCCCTTGGATGATCTTCCATCTGGTATGGTATTCATATTATGACTTTAAAAAAAGTCAGGCTTAATAATTCATTTGAATGCTTTAGAGCTAATCTGTATGTGAAATGTCCTTAGCACATGATTGCTCATAACAGTTTGAGAGAGAAAGTGACATGAGGTCAAGTGACATCAAGAAGGAGAATAAAATGCAAACTGACCTCATGTTTGTAGTGGATGAGTTTGGAAAAATAAAGCTTGAGCACATTGGAGGAAGACTTTTTAAAAGGGTAACAATCACAGTAGGGTATCTCTGAAAGGAGAAATAATGTTAGAGCAAAAATTGGTCCGCGTGGACAAAATACAGAAAAATTCACTTTCAGTGAGATACTGATTTTATAAACATAGGGATGGACTTGTAATCATTTCCCCATTTGTTGTTTTCCTCCTCTCTTTTTGCCCCAGCGTTTTCAGAAGGCACGATTATAGACTAATGCTTTTCATTATTATGTGTTTTTGTGAAAAGACTTTCCATCTCACGTGTGTTTGTTTGCAGGCCCATTTATTTATACGTGTTGGCTTGAGTTGATCCAAACCTTTGCATGACAAGCAGGGCAGAGTACTCCTACTTTGGCCTCGTTAGTCGAACAGCGATTATACGGAGTACATTTGTCTTTGGATGTACTGGATTCCTTGATTTTCTTTTCAAGACCGAGCACACTCTGAATACCTGGGGTGGAGGCGCTTCCTTCCTTAGTGGGCCCTGCCTATGGTTACAGAACCTTCGAATTTTTAATCTCATTTTTATCTTCGTTACAGCTCTGTGAGATTGATTTTATCATTTACATTTTATAGATGAAGAAATGGGCTCATCCAGCTTGTCTTTTCCTGGGCCCACAGCTAGTCGGGGGCTGAGCGGGGTTTTGGATTGTGCCACTATGAGAACGTGTGCTGGGAGAGAGGCAGCGGGGAAATGGAAGAATTATCCAACCAAGAGCATGTCCTAAACTACTGCTTAGGAAAACCACTTAAAAGTGTACATTGTTGGGGTGCCTGGTTGGCCTAGTTGTAAGAACATGCAGCTCTTGATCTCGGGGTCATGAGTTCAAGCCCCACATTGGGTGTAGATATTACTTAAATAAATAAAAACTTAAAAAAATAAAAAGTTTTGGGATGCCTGGGTGGCTTACTTGGTTAAGCGTCCGACTCTTGATTTTGGCTCCGGCCATGATCTCACGGTGTCTGGAATCGAGCCCCACGTCAGGCTCTATGATGACAGCATGGATCCTGCTTAGGATTCTGTCTCTCTCTCTCTCTCTGTCTCTGCCCCTCTCCTGACTTGTGTGCTCTCGCTTGCTCTCTCAAAATAAATTAAAAAATAAATACTTTTTAAGAAGTTAACATTGTCTCCTTATTGGAAAATGAGATGAGTGTTTGCTAATGTCCCTTCTCTGAAATAGATTTGTGACTCCTTGATCTTCTGCACTTCTTCTGCCCTGCTGCCAAAGGGCTAGGGAATCCATTTTATAGATTTCACAATTTAAAAAAATGTGCAAATAAGCATATAGATGCTCTTACTTTACATAGATACTTGAGGCTGTTCCTTCGGTTACCTTGTGAAACCATTTACAATCCCTGTGATGGGAAGCAAGTAAATCATGCCAGTCTGTCTGAGAATAAAGCTACAACCTAATAGGTCTTACTGGAAGTAATAAACATTAATTAATATTTAAAGTAATAAATAAAGATCCCCCTAAGGACTCTACTGTAGGCTTGCTGTGATACAATCTTCCAGTTTTGTTTTGGTTTTTAAACTTTGTTCAGGGTTTCTTTTCTATACAAACTTTTTAAAGATGACTTGGCACTTTTGCTGTCATTAACAATAATTTTGAACGTGTTCTTCCCCAAGTCAGGTCTGTCTCCCTTAGTTTCTGGTTTTCTTTTCCCGTCAGAAGTTGGCACTGTCAGTTTTAAGAGTGTTATTTGTCTTTCTAGATACTTGGATTTATTATGACAAATTAGAAAGAAAAAGAAAAAGAAAAAGAAAGAAAGAAAGAAAGAAAGAAAGAAAGAAAGAAAGAAAGAAAGAAAGAAAAAGAAAAGAAAGAAAGAAATGTCAAAACTGCAATTTTTGTGAAATAAGCTCATGTGGAAGCTTTTTTACTTTAGATTTAATGAAGTTTTCCTGGGTCATGACTTATCAGTACCTTTGTCTTGCTGTGCATGATGCATGTCTCTGAGACAGAATGTGGTCAGGTGTCCCCCAGACTTGTTTCACTGTGGACCCTTTTGTTTTACATGACCCATCTCTCAGGACTAGTGTCCCTAAGAAAACATTTGGGAAAGGTTTATTTACTTCCTATGGACCCCTTAGCACAGTCTGTTTTAAAAATTAGTACAGTGAGGGGCGCCTGGGTGACTCAGTCGGTTGAGTGTCCGACTTCGGCTCAGGTCATGATCTTGCGGTCTGTGAGTTCGAGCCCCGCGTCGGGCTCTGTGCTGACAGCTCAGAGCCTGGAGCCTGCTTCAGATTCTGTGTCCCCCTCTCTCTCTGCCCCTCCCCTGCTCATGCTCTGTCTCTCTCTGTCAAAAATAAAATAAACATTAAAAAAAAACTTTTTTTTAAATAAAAATTAGTGCAATGAAGTATGTAAATCTCGAATACCTTTAAATGAGTTTTGGTACATATGTACTCCCTTGGTGAGATTTGGTACATTTCTGTTATCCCAGTACCTTCCTTTGTACCGCATCCCAGTCAGTGGCTCCCACTTTTGCAGTCCCTTTTGTGGCTTTTTTTTTTTTTTTTTTTTTTTTTTTTTTGCTGTAGATTAGTTTATCCTGATTTAGATCTTCATGCATTGTGTCTTGTGTCCAGTTTCTTTTGCTTAGCATATGCCTATGAGATTAATGTCAGATATAGCAACAGTTTGTCTTTATCTTTTTAAATTACTGAGTACGTTCTGTTGTTTGAAGATAACACAGAGTTTTATCCATTCTGTTGATGGACATTTGGGTTGTTTCCACTTTTTGGCTAGTCTGAATAAAATAACTATAAATATTCTTATAAAAATCTCTTTGGTGGACACATGTTTACATTTCTTCTGTAATTAATTACCTGGCGGTGGAATTACCGAGTCACAGCGTAGTTGTATGTTTAACCACACAATGGTGTATTCCTCTCAAACTTCGGAGTGCATCAGAGTACCTCATGGCAGCTTGTTAAACACAGACTCCTGGCCGTGTATCTAGAGGGTTTTTCCAAGCCACTTAATTGAGATATGATTGGCATTAAAGGAAAGCTGTACATAATTAATGTATACAGTTTGACGAGTTTGGAGATAAATGTGCACCCATGAAGTCATCACTGTAATCTATGTTGTAAACATACCGATTAGCTCCAGCAGTTTGTTTTCACCCTCTTTATTATTGTTGTTGTTGTTATTATTATTATTGTTAGTAGTAGTAGTAGTGGTAAGAATACAACACAAGATCTACACTGTTAGCAAAATTTTAAGTATACTGAATATAGTATTGTTAACTCTGGGCACTGTGCTGTACAGTAGATCTTTAGGACCTTCTCATTTGTACAACTGTAACTTTGTGCCCTTTGAGGAATGCTCCCCTGTTTCCCCCTTTTCCTAACCTCTAGCAACTGCCATTCCACTTTGCTTCTAGGAGTTGGACTCTTTTTTTTTTTT